GAGCTGCAGGGCCACGGGGAACGCGCGGCCCTCGGCCTCCTTCACCCGCTCCGACAGCACCTCCTGCCCCTCCTCGGCCCTCAGCGCCATCGGCTCCTGGTGGATCACGGCCCTGGGGCTGGAGTCCTCCTGCAAGGGGATAGGGGGCTCAGCAGGCTCTGGCTGGCTGGGGAACATCTCATGGGAGAGCTTGGTGAGCACATGTGTGCTCAATGGGAATCCCTGTCAATGGGATATGGGGGGACTCAGGAGGTTCTGGTTGACCTGGGAACATCTCATGGGAGAGCTTGCTGAGCACACCTGTGCAGGAGGCTCCAAGGACACCTGGAGAGGTGTCACCTCCTTGAGGGACACCTCCGTGACATCAGGGATGCAGTGGGCAGGGAGATGCGGGTGGCACACCCAGGGTAGGGAGTAACTGGAACAAACCCACCCCAAAACACCAAGAAGGAGCCAGGACTCGAAGCAACCCCAAAGGCAGTGTAATCCCACGTCTTCCTGGATTTACTGGCAGCACTCCCAAGATTCCCACACATTCCTGTTGTCCCTGCCTGGCTCTGCCTCCAGGAATACAACAAACCTACAAATTCCTGTCCCTGGGCTCCCAGTGCTGAGCACTCACCAGGACAAAGTGCACGGTGCAGCCTGTGACTTTCAATCCAGGTTGCAGAGGCTCCTGCTGGGCACTGCCAGCCTTGAGTGGCAAAAGGGATGGAGAAGCATTCAGGATTTTCCCTGGGAATCAATGAGAGAGGAGAGAAAATGGAAAAACAATAATTTGAACTGAATTCCCTTTAAAAATTCCTCTAAAAACAGAAGTGAGATGTGATCACCAGTCCAAAACCAGCACTGAGCGCCCTCTGAGCGGAGGAAATTCTGCCCTGTCCTCAGGGCAGCACAGGAGGGAGAGGAATGGAGAAATCAGCCTCTCTCCCATTTTTTCTTGAGTGGGGAGAGAGCTCAGGGCTCCCCAGCACAGCTCCTTGGTAAAGGAGGATCAAACGCCTTCCCAGAGGGAAGCAGCAGACCCAGGCCATGCCCGTGGTTTTTTCCCTCCTGCTGCAGCTCAGGGAGTTTCTGGCAATGCACAGCCACATTCCAAACACAGTCCCAGTGCCAGAAGGAATGGAAGCACAGGGAAGCCCATGGATGGATATGTCACCAGTGCCAGCAAGGCTGAGGGGTTTAACCAAAGGATGGGACCAAGGAACTGAGGGAGGAATCCTGGGCAAACCAATCACCCCTGGGGGAGTTGCTCTCTTACATGCCATTCCTTACCTTTCCATTTCTGGAGGAAAGGGCTGGACAAGATCCTCATAAACCCTGAGAGACAGATGAGCTCCACAGAGAACTCCTGCAGGACTCGGTCGATGGTGCTGTCAAACTCCGAGCGACTCCCATAGAGCTTGTGGTCAATCACCTGAGCCAAGGAGACACACCAGAGGGCATGGAGACAGCCCAGCAAGGACACAGCCTGGGGGATTGGGAGCAGCTACTTGGGAAACAAAGAGGAACACAGTGGATTCAGTCCAGGCTGCTCCATGATTTGACAGGAGGTTGCAGTGAGGTGTGGGTTGGTCTCTTTGCCATGGCCCAAGGGAAAGAACCAGAGGAAATGGTCTCAAGTTGCACCAGAGGAAGTTCAGGTTAGATATTAGAACCATTTTTGTCCCTGTGGGAGTGTTCAGGCATTGGAATGAGATGCCCAGGGAGGTGGTGGAATGTTCTGGAAGTCTCTGGAAGTGTTCCAGAGGTGTCTGAATGTGGCCGGAATGAAGAGGAGGTAGCAGGTCTTCCATTTTTTCCCCCACCTCACCCTCAGCTCTCCAGGAAAGTGTTGATTCCAGTGCCTCAGGGGGCTCCGGGAGAGCTGCAGAGGGACTTGGGACAAGGGAGGGAGGGACAGGACACAGGGAATGGCTTCCCACTGCCAGAGGGCAGGGACAGGTGGAGATTGGGCAGGAATTGCTCCCTGGGAGGTGCTGAGGCACTGGCACAGGTTGCCCAGAGCAGCTGTGGCTGCTCCATCCCTGGGAGTGTTCCAGGCCAGGTTGGATGGGGCTTGGAGCAGCCTGGGCTGGTGGGAGGTGTCCCTGCCCAGGGCAAGGGTGGGATGAGATGAGCTTTAAGGTTCTTCCAACCCTAACCAGCAGTTCCTGACCACCACAGGTTCAGCACCAGGGAGCTAGAGGAAAAAGGACAGGAAAGAGGTGCCTTACCCTGGTGGGAATTCCAGCCCGAGCTGCATTTCGTAGCTCCTCCACTCCAGACTTGTTGGAGATGACAAGGACAACCTGAGCACAGCTGCCTGGTTCCTTGGTGTAACCAATGAGGGCAGAGAGGTTCGTGCCTCGAGCAGAGAGAGCAAACAGTGAGGACAGAGATGAGCACCAATGTCATGGGATGGGCAGCATGGCACTAAGATGGGCACCCATGGCACTGGGATGTAGTCTCATGTCCCTGGAAGGAGCACCCACATCACTGAGATGGCAATTGCCACCTTGGGGTTAGAAGGCTCCATGGACTCTACTGGAAAAGCCAAGGTGGATGCACCTGTCTCAGGGCTGATCCTCTCCTGTGTCAGAACATTTCTCTGTGTCACCACCACTGAAATCTCACCTGTCCCAGAGACCAGAACAGCTACGTTGACCTTCCTCCTCCTGGGCTGGTGCTGGCTCTCAGTGTTGGTGTCACTCAGCAGGTGCTGGGGGCTGCTCAGCTGCAGAGCTTCCTCAAGGTTCTCCACTTGGACGTGAGAACCTCCTCCAAATACATGAGGAAAAGGTTAAATTACCTTACATTCTACTTTTTCATCTACATTTACTTTGTATATCAAGTTTCAATGACAAGAAGATGTACCAGCAATGACTATGCTGTCACTGATGGAACTACAAAGACATTCACTGCTTGGACAACCCAACCCAGGAGTTGTGCTGATCTCTTGTCTTACTCACTCAGAGTTAGCATAGAATGTTAAGGGGTTGGAATGGATCTGGAAAATCATCTCACCCCAACACCCTGCCCTGGGCAAGGACACCTCCCACCAGAGCAGAGTTGTTGACAAAGGCCTAGGCATGGCATGGCCTCTTCAAGGATTAGCCCCACCTTTATACCTCTTCCTCTTCCTCTCATGCTGCAAAATGACACTGAAATGATATTGAGGGAGCTGAGGTGACATTTTGGCTGTCTAGCTGTTTGGTATCCAGAGGGATTTTGGCCCAAGCCATCTGACTGTCAATTTATGGCTACACCAGAAATCAATCTTCTGACCTACCATCACACATGACCACGCACAGCTGTGGCCTAGCCTCAATCCTAGTATGGACCTGTGTGAGCTGGGAAGGGGCAGGGAATGAGGTGAGGTGATTCAATGACTGTGGGGAGATGCCAGCCAATGTCTGAGGCAGCAGAAGGATGTACTCAAGTAGGTCCCTGAGTGAGAGATTGTTCAGGGACACTGAGCTCTCACTGCACTTACTAATGAGATCTAGATGTGGAGGTGTCAAATAATCTCCAGACAACTGATGCCTCCTAGGAGATGACCAGAACTTCACAGAATCACTCCAGAAAAACTTCTTCTCTCCCAGCATTAACACTGAACAGCACATCCTGGAGCGCAAACCCCTCTGAAGTGAACTCAAAGCTGTCACTCAAACCACATCTGATGTGTGTGGCTTCATTTCCCACCTGCTAACCTGTGCGACAAGGAGCAACCACCTTCCCGATCAGCCAAGCCTCCTCATGCCTCTGAATGTCCTTGAGAACGTGCTGGGCCAGGTCCTCCTGCACCACCAGCACTGCCCCAATGCCACAATGGAAGGTCTGAGCCATCTCCTCTGCAGAGAGGTTCCCTTCCTTGTACAGCCACCAGAAGATTTCAGGGATCTTCCAGCTGAGAGCATCTGGAAGTGATGGGAATGTGTGAGGCCAGCACAGAGTTTGCTGTTGTGGTGACAGTGATGTGTCACACAGCTGAGACACTAATTCTTGTTATCACAGAATCAGAGAGTCACTGAGGTGGGAAAAG